AAAAATGTGCTGGCATGATTTGTGCTCGAGGATTCGTTCACTCAGCGCCTCTCTTGTCCAGATTACCACGACAACAGGGATGGAATTCTTACATCAAGTACTGCTGAAGCAACGGTACAAGCCATGGGGTTTCCTCCAAATGTATTGAAGTGCAGGCACTTGGCAAATGAAGCAGCGACTTCTGCAAAAGGAACAAAAAAAAAATCAGCTCACACCCTTTGCTTACTGGTATTTCAAAATCAAAACATCACTTCAAATAAAATCTATGGCAGTGTTTTATCTTCCTCTTGGCGTGTTCATAACGACATCCTTATGGTTGAATGAGTGTTAGATTTGCAGCTATTGTTCTACTAATGGTGAAGTACAGATACAGCATACAGAAAAGCCAGTAGAGCAGCGCTGACCAACCAGTCAGAGCCACAATTTGTACTGTGTGACTCCAAAGAGCCACATGAGTCCCCATTGGATATTTCTGGTCGATGTTTGCGTGGACTAAAGATTTGAATCCTAGCATCGTGCTAATGATGCCTGACATACAGTGTGAGCAGAATGGCTTGCCATTAGGTTAAAAATCCTGTGTCCTGTGTTCATCTTCAAATTTTCATTTTTGCTGTGCATTTTTTACCTGCCATTTTGAGAGTGACTTTGGTAAATCTAAACTAGTTAGTGGTTTTTCCCTCCAAGTCATTTGCATCAACGCTCATGCTCGTGTGATTCACGTTTCATTAAAAAAAAAAAACAACCAAAAAAATGTACATAAACTTAAGAGCCGCACGAAACGGGGCAAAGATGTGGCTCCGGAGCCGCGGGTTGGCCATGCCTGCAGTAGAGTGAGGTGAAGAGGTGAAGCCCACAGGTGCTACTGTCAGTATGTGTGGACTGAATCTGATCAACTGATGTTCGCTGTTACCGATGACTCACTCTGTGCTTTCTTTTCCCTTCACACAATTCAACAGCTTGTTCCTTTTTAACTGAAGCTCTGTTCGAGGTTTATCTCAAAAATCCCCCGTCTTGAAATACTTTTTCATGTTCCTGATAAAACGGTACCGTCTGAGCAATTTTAACCCAAGAAATAGGACTGTGCTTCAGATTTTGATGTGCGCCAACATTTTTAGATTTAGTATTTGGGAAAGAAAAAAAACCATAGGACTTAGATGATTGTTGTTGTTTGCCATTCTTATAATTTGCTTTTTTTCTTGTTGGTTTTTATGATGAACACCCAGTAGAATTTTAATTTATTTTGCTTATTCTGTGTGGACAACAACAAAGTTTGTGATGCTGTTGTTCATTATTGTTTTCCATGCACATATGGCTTAGTAAATCTTAAAAATGACAAACTTGTGAATTTTTTTTGAAGTTTTTACAATATCATACTATACTACTTTACTTTAGTACTTTTATTGTACCATTTATAGTGTAATAAGGAAATAATGAAACTCTTGATAGCATTTAATTCTATCAAAACCCCACAGTATTTAAGAGTTTGAGTACGGCTGTGTAATTATTTTAAAGGCTGCACAGAGAGCTGCGGTCAGTCCCAGCAGTCACCAGGTGAGAGTTCAGGTACTGTCTATTACTGTCTGTAATGTTGCCACAGTTAACTGTGTTTTTATTTTTTTGGAAACTGGTCCCTCACACAGAGACAGAGTTTTTATGTGCAGTTTAGAACTGTTTTAGTTCATTTATTATGTGCAGTTTAGAACTGTTTTAGTTAATTTACATGGTATATACAGTATATATATATACACTCATATATTTCTGACTAATCTCAAAAAGATATGCGATGAAAATTCTCTGTGAAGCTGGTTCAAGCTGGTTCAAAGTAGAGATCTATTTATTGGACTGGGAGGTACAGCTCATCTGTACCACCTCTGGGCTTGGGAGAGATTCAGTTTTTATTTTTGGTTTGGAAAGTCAAAATAATTTTAAGTTTCTCAAACACCAGGGTTTCTGCAGCTTCTCTCTTTCAGACCGCACCTTGAACTCCATTCATGTGATGAACAGATGACGCCACACGTCATTGTGTCTGACCTCTGTGTAGACCTCACCTCAGACTTGACGTGATCGATTAGAGAGGTAAAAACACCCACAGTCACCTGGTGTGGTAACAACAGCTCCCATTGGAAAACCGTTGCCTATGCCTTTGGCCATTGTAACGATATCAGGTAGAACATCGTGTCCTTGGAAACCCCAGAAGTGACTTCCTGTTCGTCCAAATCCAGTCTGCACCTGTTGGAGACAGAGAACATGGTCAGCTGAAAACACAGATATGCACCACTCAAGTAAGACACATGTACTGTACAGGAAGTAAGGAAACTCAGTTCTATTTATCGATCAGTTTCAGGTCTATCATATATAGACAACAATGCAAAGAAAGGCATTTTTAGAGGTGCTGCAAACGTTTTTCAAATTGCAGACACTAATCTGTTTAACGTGCACAACCTCATCAGCTATGCAGACGCCTCCTCTCTCTCTGACAAGTTCGTAAGCCTCCTTCAGGTAGGTTTTAGGATACTGCACCGCTCCTCCCACTCCCTGTGGGAACACACACATTTACAGAGATTAAAATTATGAAGTAATCCGCTCTGACATTTATCATATATATTCACAGTAAATGTTACCTTATAACTTGTGTTTCAGTACATATGCCACACACTGTAGAAATTGTTAGCATTGTGCTCATTGTGTTCTCCCAACAGTTCAATAACAAATAGGGTAGAGTTAAAAAAAAAAGTAAAAATATACTAACACATAGGGTAGAGTTAAAAAAAAAGTAAAAATATAAGTGTAATAATACTATGTATAACTATGAACAGGGAGGTGTTGTTTTACAGGTGACTCATTTCTGGGGCAACATGTAAACCAACCAGTTGGTCGGTTTGGTTTTCTCCTTATAAACAGAAGACTATTCCAAGAAACCAAATAATTGTGTATTACAGGAAGTCGTCAAACTATGACGTCATCACGTTAGACGATAGACTAATAAAATGTTCCATGGCTGAACAGAAAGTGAGCACAGCTTTTACACCACTGACAAACACTGACTCCTACTTTCCAGTAAGGAGTGTGTCAGTTCAACTGGGGAGCATTATTTTATTTTTTGTTTTATTTTATATTCATGAAGGTGAAAAAATACAGTTGTTTTAGAATGTGTTGTGTTTTTAACCATTATTTAAAAAAATAATAATAATTAGTTTTAAAAAAATTATCTCAAATTTTTTATCAATCACTAGACATTTCAGGTGATCTAATCTGAACACCAGACGACCACGTGTGGGTTGCAACCCTAGGGTTAAAAAACACTGGGTTAAAATAAAGTTAAGAGTTAAGGTGTGTCTATAGGTGTTTTTTTCTGACTTTGTTGACCTACTTCAATAAACAATGAGACATTTAATTGCAGTAGAAAAACACATAAGTTCAAATGTTTGAATGACACCTTTAGGCTCCTAGTGACAAACATGTCAGTATGACGCTGTAGTCATTCTAACTGAGCCATAATCAGACCTGAATGGGCTCCGCAAAGAAAGCAGCAATCCGACCAGGGACACTTGTAGCCAACGTTTCCTTGAGTTGACCAATGTACTGTTCCTTTGCCATGCAGTGACCTTGAAGAAAAAAAAATTTGACATATTCTCAAATTTTCTGTATGTAACAGCTTGTTTTTTTTCGTTTTTTTCTTTAATGAGTTTATTAAGATTTAATCTATAAAACTTTGGTTTTTACCTGAACGCCTTTTTTATTTCCTTTATTTTCCTCTTTTTTTTGTTCTCTGGTGTTTTCTTTATGGATTATCTCATTGTTTCTCAAAGACTGGGTTGCAAGAATATTTTTTTTGGGTCGTCTTGCATCTTGTTTCCCAGGAGTTTATGAAAAATGTCTATTGACTTGGGTCGTGAAGGTTTGTGACTTTCCAAAAAGTTTGGGAAACACTGGATTATCTGACCTAAAATGGAAATAAATTCTTTGGGGGATAAATTGATGACATTGACAAAATAAGTTCAATCATGATCTGAAATAAATTTGTGAAATGTGCATCAATGCGATTTTAGTAATAGGGTGTGTCATAGAGGGAGCAGATATTTTTACAACATAATTTGTACTTGCCCCGTATAACAGAGTTTGGTTGGCCTGGTAGAAGGTTCAGTTTAATTATTTGTTAGCCTGAAATGATGTACTAAGGGTCGCCCACTGCTGCTTCTGCTGCCGTGTCTCTAACTTTATTTAGCTGTAATAAACCACTGCAGCTGAAGGTGTGTGAACATTACTTTAACTACACAGATTTAAAGACATTTTCCAGGTAAATTGTCAAACTGACAAACACACTGTGACTACAGTTCCTGAAAAACGATGACAGGTTAAAGGTGAACATGGTAAATGATCAACAGAGACCAGGTCGAAAGTTTAAACCAGGAATATCTGTCACTTTTGCTGTCATGTTGGCCATTTTTAAAAACACATTTTATGCAGTTTTCTCACGTGTATTTATTTACTTGTTTATTGCACATTGCAAATGTCACACTGTTTGAAAGCTATTCCTGTCAAATTGAAATTAAATTAAAGGTGTGTGTGTGTTCAGTGTGTACCTTGGCCACAGCCACAGTCTCGGGTGGTCTGAACGGGAGAGTCTCTGCAGTGGCTTCCTCCCCACAGACCTCTGAACACATCAGGACACATGGTCTGTTTTTGGAGGCACAGACACCGTCAGTACCCGTCACTCAGAAAGCACACATCATCTTGGCTCTCAGTGTTACTATTATTAGTCTTCTGAAGTCAGCTTCTGAATCACACATACTGTACATGTATGCACTTATATTGCAATGTTTAATTTTACGCAGTATATATGCAGTGACTCACAATATATGATAATGAATATTGTTAAATACATACATTTGAGCAGCCCGAATTGCTAGCGACAGGGAATTTATAAGATGCATAAGATGTAAGTCCCATGGTCTGAGGACTGCCACCGTGGTATGATCCCCTGGAAGACACAGCATTTTGTGTAGTTACACACCACATAAATATATATGTAAATATATCTATGTAAATATATATAAATATATACACATATATATTTATATATACATTTACACACACACATATATACTTACATATATTTATACACTTATAAACACAAATAAAAATGTTGATATATAAATATACATACACTATACATATTTGCACATTATGAACATATGAAAATAACTTAAACAGGTCCAAACCTGCACATAAAAACTCCTTCTGAGGGACCAGTTTCCCAAAAAAATAAAACCCACAGTTAACTGCGACAACAGTATTGCAGGACAATTTCAGACACGGTTTAACGACAGACGTTAGATGTTAGTTAGCAGCAACAACCACAGCAGGAGTGTAGCAGAAGGAAAAACATCCCTGCAAAAAAAATTTGTTTTTTACAAAGAACATCGCTCAAATGGAATCCTTCATGAAACGGAATTAATTTGAATTAGATTGACAAATAATAATAATATAATATACAACAAAAAGAATGCCTTACCACATGTTTTAGACTCGCCTTTGAATAAAGGAATATTCAACAACCTTGTTCTTTTGAAAAATTATTTATTAACACGCCATTTAGCCCTTCTCCTTAATTTCATTGGGAATGTCTGTCCGTTTATTGCCAAACAAATGTTTTCTTTTAGTGAAAACCAAATGATATTGTGACTTGAGCTTCAAATTTTTTACACAGTCTTTGCAGAATACAAAACATCCAGTTGAATCCATGCCTATTTTCAAAAAGCTCTTGAAGACCGAGCTATTCAGAGAGCCCACCTTAGGACTTACATCCACCCTGATTAAGGAGTCCCACTTTACTAAATAATTTACTAAATCTCTTTTCAAGAGTTTTCAAGAGTTTCAAGAGAGTACAGTGGCTTGTACCTTAAAGTGATGATGTCGTGGTTGCCGGTGTGAAATCGAGCCATCAACATAGCCAAGTCATTGGCTTCGGAGCCACTGTTTGTCAGATATACCATCTTAAAGAAGAAACGGGGAGGAAAACATTTTAGCTTTTTTTTTAACTGCCTCATTCTATCGAAACAGAAATCCAAACAGTACCTTTAGGGGGTCTGGCATGTGGGCAGCTAGTTTCTCGCAGTATTCATGGATAGCAGGGTAGACGTAGATAATGGTAGTGTGCCACAGTCTCTTCAACTGCTCCTGTGCAGCTGCTGTTACTTTCCTACAGGTGTGGAGATCAAAACGGAACAACACCAACAAAACTGTCATTTTAAATAGGAAAGTGAACTACTTGTCACTGTGACACAGCACACAACCTCAAGACCTCTGCTTTTAACCCATCACCAAAGTGAACAGTGGGCAGCAGTGTGTGGGGACAGTGCCATGCTCAGAGCACCTCAGTGGTAACTTGGCAGCTGGTGGACCCGAACCTGAAGCCTTGCGGACCCAAGTCCGCTTCCTTTACCACTAAGCCGCCACTGCCCCGTTGTATGTAAAATGTAATCAATCCAATCCAAATGTATTTTCTTCACACAGGGATAATGTACAAAACTTTCAATTAAGGAATCTTACGGATGGCAGTGACCCACACTGACAGTTGCCACGCCCGCAAACAAGTCCAGGTATCTCTTCCCATCAACATCCCACAGCCACTGCATGTAGCCCTGGTTAACGAACACAGGGTTTTTGTAGGAGGTTCCTTTCATTATCATGGGGTTGCAGTACTGTCTGCGGATCTGCAGCATTCTCTCTTTCGACATACCCTGAACAACACATGTCAAACAGGAAAAGTTTCATTATGCCATCAGTGTGTGTGTGTGTGTGGGGGGGGGATACACACACATATGTATTGAATCAATGATACAGGGCGACCTTGTATTCCTCTGGTTTGAAGCTGCACGGCGGCATGTCTGGGATGTTTGTGCTTGAGTAGTCAGGTGACAGTTTCTGACATGCTGGACCTGTTATTGATATTTGATGAGTACAGTTCAGGAAAATTCCACCAAGAGCATATTCAACTTGCATTCAAATACGTTACATTTAAAAGATACGATTCAAGTACACATGCACACTTTGCAGCTGTGTTATTTTTGAATGTTTTTAGAGATAATGGCAAATGAAAACGTCAATCAATTTCAAGTATGTCAGTGTTTTCTTTATTTGTGTCCCAGTGAAGTATTTGTAATGATTATCTATAAGAAGGAAGGTATTTTAAATATGTTTCAGTTGAGTTCTGCAGCAAAAACTTGTTAAACCACACGGTGCCTCACACGGTGCATCAATAAAAGGAAAGTCTTTTATAACTTTTATTTATATAACTTTTATAACTTTAATTTATAACGACCCCGAAAACAGAAAATTGTTGACGGTCCCTAAGCCGTAGCGGTAGTTGAGTGTAGCGAAACAAATCGTTTAGTGCTGCTAATCCTGGTTAATAACAGATACATTCAACAAAAATAAAACTATTACCTATATTAAAACCCTCTTCAAGATAATTATTTCATTATTACATCACATTTTACGTCGACCTTAGCGGACTAATGTATTCTAATGATAGAATATGTTTGAACTGTTTTAAAACACGTCACGGTCAGGTTACACTTTTTCTTTTAAAAAAAAACAAACAACCAAAAAAAAAAACTGTAACCATACGTAAAAAATAATTTCATGATTTATACTTATGTACCCCATGTTATTATGTTCAGTTGTTTTAGTTTGTTAAAGTTCAAAGTTCAAGCCAGTACCTTACGAGCCCACTCTGTCTCGTTTTTTTTTTTCTTATTTAAATCAGAAAAGACAGACAATACAACAACACGTCAGTTCTGAATACTTCTTTGTCTCTATGGCAACTCACCTACTATCTGGCTGAATTTGACCGAAAAATGTCCACAGTTGGACAGTCGTGCTGAGATTTCACTACGACCACTGGTCAAAAGTTTGATCATGTTGTCAGTGCTGAGTGTCTCGAGAGCTGTCGACACGGGAACACAGTCACTTCACCGTTTGTTCTTGCTCTGCAACACAGTTCAGTGAACATCAGACTACGTAAGCCCACGGCTATACCCACGCCGTTACTGAAATGCGTGACGACACTGAAAGCCTGCGCAAAATATCAGCGCAACACGCACGTCAAGATGTACCTGAGAGAACACAGGGCGGACTAAAAGTACTGTACTCTATTTTTTTTATTGCCTCGAAACTATCAAAGAATGTTCCACGGCCACACACCCACGCCCCTCCCCCACACACCATGGATCACAGCTGCAGGCAGCGACCGACCAGGCTATACTAACAGAACAACAACAACGGATCAGAATACAGGCTATACTAACAGAACAACAACAACAACGGATCAGAATGACCATTTGGTTAAAAGTTTATGTTAAGGGTTGTATTTCTCCAAATGAAAAACAAAACCCCAGAAACATTTGCTGAAAGAAAACATTTTTTTATTTGTATTCTTAGTCTTATTTTCATCATTTGAATTAACATCAACAAATTAAAACAACTTTGAAGGGTCAGACAACTGATTACAAGAGAATTACAGAAACTGTTGGTGTATTTTGTTTTACCGACACAAAACAATACAAAGTTTCAGCAAAGTCTTTCAAAAGAGACATTAATAATAAAAACGCCATTCATTAATAACTTAACTCATTCTGCCTGAAATTTTGCTTTGCTTGTTTTTGGTTTGCCCTGATTTGATAGATTTAGCTTAAAATAGACTTTTTTTTTTTTACAAAGGTCTAACAACAATAAAATTGTTTCTTATGTTTATATTGATTTCTTGGCAAAAACAAACAAACAAAGAATAAAAAACCAAGAGGAAAATAGTGGAAAATAATAATAAAAATAATGGCTAAATGTAGCATTTAGCTAAAGACCAGAGAAGAGAAGAAACAAGTCACTTAAGGTTAATGTTGTACAATGTCAGGCAGTTATCGTGACACGTTTACCCCATAAAACAAACCTAAAGCAATCATTGAGAAAAATGTTGTTTTCAGATTTAACATTTATCTATAAAATGTAATGTCAGTGTGACACCCCACCCCCACCACCACACCTGTCTTAAGTCTTTTCTCTCTTCATAAAGTGTTTTTTTTTTTTAATCAAGTTAGCAGCGTAAGTGTTAGGAGACAGGAGAGAGGTAAGGTTGAAAAATGAAAAAAAAAAAGACAGCCATGATTTCATGAGAAACAATTTTAACAACAACAACTACATTTCAGAATACACAAAGTGACATCACACTTAAGTTGTAACTGTAGGATATGAAGTGTACATGGCCGGCATTTGTGTGTGCGACCCGTGCTGAATGTGGGTAAAGGTCTCGAGGTAACTGACTGTGTTCAATCCCCACGTCCTCTGTGTACCCATGTGGCTGAGCCCACTCTACTAAGAAGAATGTAGTACAATATAACTATCTGTTCAATCCTGAATTGTTGATTTAATTGGGTCAATATATTAAATTCTCTCCAACAGTTCTTTCCGGGGTCTTCCAGTGTTTTTGTTTGATTTCTGTTGTTGGTATCAGTCCAAACTACAACAACTTTATCAAAATCCTAAACCTCCCTCATCGTCATCTGATGAAGCTAGTGCAGTGATTCCCAACCACCGTGCCGTGGCACACTAGTGTGCCATAGAGGATCATTAGGTGTGTCGTAAAAAAATATCAAATATCAATTAATTGGTCCACAAACGGTTTTTTTTTATTTATTATAAAAATAATATAATAAATGTGTATTAAATGTTATAATAAATAATACAATAAATATATTGTTTATTTATTGTAAATAATTATTTATTGCAAATCATTTTTCTTTGTTCGTCTATATGTGACAGGCAGAATTACATACTCTTCACTAGGTGGCAGCAGATGGCTTTGAAAACTAAAAGAAAAATAATCAGAGCTGTTGAAGATTTTTTCGAGTGCCTTTCTTCAATTCCTGCCAGTATATCAGCATTGTCTTCAACTAAATAAGAGTACATATTTAGTCAATTTAAACGAGAATATTATTATATTTCATTACATATAGTTTTTGTGAGATTTTTGTTTGGTTGTCTGCTGAGGGGTTTTTTCCTGATGATATACAGTATATGTGCCGTGGCACAAAAATGGTTGGGAAACTGAGCTAGTGAGTCGGCAGGGTGAACATGACGGCAGTGTCGACATAACCATCCACTGTTGGGGACATTTTATTCTGTGCTGGAGAGACTGTGGACACCTGGGGTGATGAGCTGTCGGCCTCCAACGCACCATTGATTTTCTGCTCCTTGCTTAAGTCCATCTCATGACTGACCACATCTCTCTGCAGCAGCAGCACCTTGTCACTGCTCATCCCCTTCACCTTGCTGTAGTCCTCCCTGTTGTCGATGCGACCGTCACCACAGCAACCTTTGGAAACTGCAGGCTGAAGAAGCACCATATTATCTCTGTTGACCTCCTGAACTTCAACGTAGCTGGTGGGCTGCATGGGGGGCAACTGCAGACTAGTGGGTGTTTCACTGTAGCCAATGTTGGAGATGTTGAGGTCACTGCGGGCCTGGAGCTTCTGAGGATGGTTGTTAGTTGTGTAAAACTCTGAATGCCTGTGAGCTTCTTCAGTGCTGTGAGCAGTGTGGTTAAAGTAGGAGGATGTAGAGCCCAGCGGAAACAGGCTGTCAGAGTGGCAGTGCTGCTTGGCCATGACCAGTGGGTTTGTTTGACTCAGTGTAGCAGCGCTCTGCTGAGGGAGTGGAGAGAAGACAGAAGGCCAGGTCTTCACTCTTCCACCGGACATGTCAGGACTCAGTAGATCTTTATGAGCATAAGCCAGGGGACTTTCATTCCACTCCTGCTGGTGCCTCTGTTTCTCCTTCATCACTGGATTTTCTCCTATATCTGTCTCTTTGACCTGAGCGCACTTCTCCATTAGCAGAGTGTGGCTGTCGCAGCTGCCTCGGCCTGAGTCGTTGTCAGACCTCAATGCCTCAGATTTGAGAAGGTCGCGTTCGGCCTTGCTCTCCTCCAGAATCATCTCCTGATCTTCGGGTATGTACACCTCCAAATACTCCACCAGCAGGTCATCGCAAGTGGATGACGTGGTCGGAGGGAAACCAGGCACCACCAACGCAGTCAAAATCTCCTCAGAGTTCCCGTACTGCACAGGAGGAGGACAACGACAATTAGAATTACAGAAAAGACATGATACTTTTTAAAATATGATATTTATATCAGGGCTGTCAAATTTTGATTTTTGATTTCCATAGTATTCATTCTGTCATTTGGATACACATACATCTACCTGTTGTTATTTGTCTTTCTGTTGCAGAAATATACAGAAAAAAAATGTAATATTTAGGAACTTTGTTTTGACAAACTCAAGGCCCGCCAAGTATTTCATGGGGGGGGGGGGGCTTTGGAAGCTTAAAAAGCGTCCATGCTGCTGAGTTTCTCAACCTGATATTTTTTTGCTCCATGCTGCTGAGTTTCTCAACCTGATCATTTTTTTTGCTTACACAGTACAATATTTGTAATTCACACAGAGCAATGTACAATATTTGTAATTCGAATAAATAATAATTTTCATGAACATAACTTCCAGTTACAGCCCGCCTGGTTGTGCGTTGTGTTACCTTAAGAAGTTTCTTATCAAATCCTTTGATTTTAGGACCAGGAACTGGTGGCAGGATGCAATGCTTCAGACTTCTCACATGGAAAAGAAGGACATATAAGAGAGAGTACAAATGAGCAACAGCAGATGGAAGATAAAATAACTGTGAGTCATTATCTCACTTCATTAATTCACTTCAACATACTGAAGCACCTGGAGTGGCCATCAAACTGGACAGGTTAATTACCTGGAGGCACATTGTACGTCTGATGACTTTAATTTGGATTAATTAGAACTAAAAGCATAGATTATCCTTATTTCTACACCATATGATAAAGGTTCTTTATGTGAGTTCCATATATGCGATCAAAAAAGCTCACATATATAGATAACCTTTGGGGAAGATTTGTAATCTTGAGTTAATTCATTAATAAAGCAGTAGCCCTAAGTTAAAGGACCAGAAACCAGCTGATCCTGATCTGGGTTTGTTTAGTTCATTAATTGTTATTGTTATTCCAGGCTTCCCATTTCACCTGTGACCATTCATGTGTATCAGCCATGCAGCGATGAGGAAGATGAAGGCAGCAAAGACGGTAACAAGGATCCACATCGACTTCTCGCGATGGAAATCTGCAAAGAAACGTAACAGCAATTTTACTGGAATGTTATGCCTTTCAGAAAATGGTGCTTTTATTACTTTTAAAATGGTGCAATAACTATGGTGTAAGGTATAAACGGTGACCACAGTATTCACCATTCTGCCTGTGTCAATGAAACCTATTGAAATTAGCTCTATCAAGCTGCCACCAGGGGGCAACGTCACTGTTTCCAAAAAGTTTGTTTACTAGGTCATTGTGAAACGTGTCACTTGGTGTGTTACAGGTATAAAAACCGTCATTTATTAATAATAATAATAATAATAATAATAATAATAATAATAATAATAATAATAAATCCGAAGTCATCTCTCACTTTAGCATCTTAAAGCTGTTGATTTTAGTTCTTGTTTTAATAAGGAGAATTTGGACACTCCTTATGCTAGCTGTCCACAGGGGACAGAAGACGTGGAGGTCTCTGATGTCAACTATCTGGTGCCAATAATTTACTGCATGGTTTCCAATTAGGGCCACCCCAGGGACAGAGTGTTTGAAATGATTAGGCCACATCAGCAGCATGAACTGGAACTCTCACTTAATGATTCAGCATTGACGCTGATATGGAAGTCATTTGACGATCCTTAACGGTTAAAGTGAAAAGAGTGTTGGCTGTTTACCGTAAATAGGTTTACCCTATTGAGCCAAATCTAGATAGAGATGAATAGATATATAGATAGATAGATAGATAGATAGATAGATAGATAGATGGATGGATAGATAGATAGATGGATAGATAGATGGATGGATGGATGGATGGATGGATGGCTAGATAGTCTGCATTATTTATTAATCCAAATGTCAGCTTCTGGTTTTAAATTTTTACAAAGGATAGGTTAATTTATTGTGTGGACTATTGTGAAGAAAACCCACTCCAAACCTAGATCAAATGTGCACAACAATTTGGGAATCCATGGCCTACCACAGAACCACAACCACAATATGTGAACTGGATAAAATAAGAACTTCTTTAATAAGAACTGACAATAATCTTTTCTAATTATCCAACAAGAATGTGTAACATGTTTACTTGACTACTTCAGCTGTTTTATTCTTAATTCTTTAACACTGAACTTTACTGAAGATATTATAGAGAAAATGTCTTACAGTCTGGAACTTTGATGTAGGAAGTAGAACTCCATTCACTCCAGAAACCATGGTCGGGTTTACAGCGGACCTGGACCTGATATGTCCCACCAGACCTCAGGCTGAAAATGTTAAACACCTTCTGTTGGCCGGCAAGATGCATCTAGAAATGCAACACGAGAGGCTCGATCAATAATTCCCATTAGCTGTCATTCAAAGAAGCAAAGTACTCAGTGTAAATAAATGTGCATCTTAGAACAACATTTTTTATTTGAGGATTAAAAAGGAACTAGTTGTTGAAAAACATTTTATTCCAGTTCAGTAATTAAGAATTCTGATCATAACTGTTCACTAAGACAAGAAATTAAAGCAATATATTTTTTTATTAAAAGCTTTATTTTTAACAATGCTGTCACAATATTTTTTATAATTTAACCTATAAGCCTACAAAAAGAAAACAATTAATCAATTATAGTGTTAAAAAAAATTATGTGGGTGTTGGGTGTGCTGTCGGAGTGACTGATGGGTTCAAGTAAGGGGTGGGGCTACTTCAGAGATCAGCTCTGAGCCCCTGTTTGTTTGCTGTGCTAATGGACAGGTTGACAGATGAGGTCAGGCATGCGGCCCTGTGGACCGTGATGTCTGCAGCTGACATTGTATTATGTGCTGAGTGTAAAGAGCAGGTGGAGGAAAACCAGGAGAGGTGGAGGTTTGCTTGGGAGTGGAAAGGAATGCAGGTCAACAGGAGAAGACAGGATACATGTGTGTGTAACAAGGGAGAGGTCGCGCCACATGACCAAGGGTTGGGGGGACCGCTGGTTTAAAGTACCGTATTTTCCGGACTATAGAGCGCACCTGAATATAAGCCTCACCCACTAAGTTAAAAAAATATATAAATTTACTATAAATATATACTATAAATATATAAGCCGCACCGGACTGTAAGCTAAGAGATATTGTAACTAGCGTGTAATACTATAAATATATAAGCCGCACCGGATATTGTAACTAGCGTGTTCTTCTTTGCACTGACTTTCCCTGTCCGTCTCGTTTTTGCACTTCCTGCTAGAACGCCCCCTGGCGGCTGAGGAAAAATCCATAGAAAAGCCGCATGGTTCAAATCGTGGGAAATACGTCGCGGCTTATACTCTGGAAAATACGGTATTTCTATGTGGTTATGAATTTGACTTGGCTCATGAAAAATGTCAGTTTATTAATAAATGTGTTGTAAAGTGTGCAGCTAAAGGCTGCCGGGTGAACCACATACTCTTCATACCTCCCATTCACCGTCATCCTCCAGTTTGACACGCAGCTCGTAGATTAAAGTGATCCATCCAGAACGAGTATCAGCCTTGTCGGGTGATTCCCATGACGCCCGGAGAAAAGGCCAGCTCTTGTCCTCCATTACAGTCACATTCAGCTCCTCCGGAGGATTAGGTTTGACTTGAGAGGAGAGGAAGGAGAAATGAACAGGTTAACAATTTGGAAGCAGTAAAAGTCACATGTGGGCGCGCAACAGTGCAGGTTAAACCAGTTGTCCACTATCTGTGTTCCTGTGTAACAGTAAACCTACTCACAGTGTGCTCTGAAAGGACCTTCCTGATATTTTGCCATATTGTATGACGGAAATGTTAAGATAAATATTGACATCAGAGCTTACAGCTAAGCAAATGTCAAGGCAATGCGGGACATTTCACAAAAATAATGATGATAATATCACGTCAGAGTGAGTCTGGAGATCACGTCAGTAAGGACTCTGGATATAAAGGGAACAGACAAAGATAAGTCGCTTCAAGGGTAAGTCCTGCAGCTCCGCTTGTTATTCCATGAACCAACAAAAGGCCTTGTAACGTGACAATGAGACTAATTCGATACCTTCTACAATATTGATGTAGCGTCGCATAGCATGAAACACGTATGTCCTGTGTTCATATTTAATAAGATGTTTATTTATTTACCTATTTGATGTCAACATCTGAGGGTGAAACAGTCGCAGTTGTTGAATTTAATAGTTAGTTAGTCCTGTGGTTTTCAAAGTGGGGGGCTCAGGGAATTAGTGGGACAATAAAAAAAAAACGTAATTATTTAAGGAGTTCACAAATAATGTCTATTGACTTGGGTTGTGAACGTCTGTGACTTTTAAAATATGGGTCCCCAGAAAAAAAGTTTGGAAAACACTGCTCTAGACCAAAACTATTTTTCAGGGCGTACATCATTTGACGTAACCCAGGCATTGCCTAATCAGATTTTCATTATCGGAGGAAATACTGATAACGATTCCTACAGATATCACATAATTATGCTAACATATTGGTCGGCCGATATTATCGGACATCCCTACTGAAAATACGTACTGGTGAACAAGACGCCTTACAATGACTTAACACGGCACCGTCAACACTGTAATGACTATTCATTATTCATCAGATTTTAATTATGAAAACGCTCCTTACCGATATAGACCACGTCTATATCCATGGGGTCAGAGAACGTTCTGCCCAGTGTGTTGGTGGCCACCACAGTGATGTTGTAGTTCACCCAGAGGGATGTGTCGTTCTTGTTGAAGAAGCAGGAGTTTTTTCCAGCTGTGTGGTAGTCAGGACACTCGAACACCGCATCAGAGCTGCCAGAGATAGAGGAGAACAACATTTAACGCAACGTGCTCTTTGTGACCAGACTGTCACTGTGTGTATCTCTAGAACTGCATGTATTCATAAAACAGTACAAACGTAGACGTTGTTTTTTTTTAAGTGAGCTTCAGTGTTCAGAATCTTTTTTCATTTTGCTCATTGCCATCGTCACTGTTCAACCCTGAGTACCAACTGCTTTCCCTGCTGCTCTACTGCCTCATCTCTACGACAATCAAAGCAACTCTGCTGTTACTTATGCTGCGGTTACTTGGACACGGCTGCAAATACCACCGGGGACTGATGATAGCAATTAGCTTCCGCTGTTGATAATTGGACAGAGGAGTTGTTTTGTTACTTCTACAGCTCACGAGGTCAAGTCAACTACACAGCAGAGGCTATAAAAAAATGCTGCTTTTTAAACAGACAAAGAACAAGTCACAAAACCACATACAGTATGGGTCTGTCAAGTTTTCAATTCCACAGGCCTTTGTAGGTAGATGTTGAAGAGTAAAAAATGAGCCAAAACAAATACAAAATTTTATTTAACTGGTGTAAAACTTGTTTCAGTTACAATAAAAATGTCTGGAACAATGTCAGAGCTGAAGGAAAAGAACTTATTGACACAAATCTCACAACAATCAGATTCATCTCAGCTACTTAGAATTTGGCGGTCTTCACATAAGTGTTTTTGTGGCACAAGAGGTTTTCAGTCCTGAAATGATAATGGCACTAAATTGCAATTTATGGACCAGGATAATAATAATTAAAAAAAACAGACTAAGGTAAAGGGATGGAAAGCACAGGACAGACGCGAGGCTAAATCACCGCCACAGTACGATAAAAGGAAGAGACAGAAAGCTACAATGGTCACAAATGATGATCGATCGGTCGCTTTCCTTCTGTTTAGCGCCTCATTCAGCTGCGTCTGTGGTCACTTCACTGGTTGATTTTCACTGCACCTTGTATAGAAGCAGTTTACACTTGGACTCTACTTCACTCTTCAGTGATGTAATGTTTTACTGTGTAGCTATAATAACCAGTTCTCTGAGATTCAGATTAGATGGTAAATCTGCATTCTTATATTTTTTATTACCAGTTATATATTCTGAATCTCTATATTGATTTTGTCCCATGATAGTACAAATGTACTCATGTTTTTAAATTAACTGTCGCAGTATCAGTCCTGCACAGGTTCCATTATTATAAAATCCAAACAACATAATCCCTAATAATGCCTAATCTCCGGATTAGGATCTAGAAGGATGATTCTCTAGTCGTCCTTCCACACCTCTGGCTCGTGCTGTGAACCAAAATGTCATCTGATTCCACGGCTCTATTCTTCCTCCAACATGGGGATTAAAATCACCACCGTGTTGCCTTTACTGATTGTAGGAATCAATCCTTACAAACCCTGTTGATCACCATACATGTGAACAGGCATGTTTTTTACAGCAGGTACTTGGTGAAGAAATCACTCAAGGAAAAAAGGGAACTCACTTCTCTTTGGTGTAATACAGGGCATATGTCGTGGGCAGCCCTCCATCTGAGCCTGGCTCCCACCAACAGGTGAATGTCTCTTTCTCAGGAGATCGACACATGGTTAGAACTGGTTTGCCTGGAGGACGGAGGCCTTCAGGCGCAATCGTTAAAAAGGAAAAGAAAATGACATTGAATAGTGAGTGAGTCAGAGATAGAAGATAAGACTTGGTTGTCCTTGCACAGTCGTACTCAAACAACAGTACCAAACAATAACACTGTACAGGCTAAGTACAACGATCATACAAAAAAAACAAACAAAAAAAAACTACATACAATATATAAAAAACATGCAGAGATAAAAATTGTGTATATAGTGTATGAAACTACAGCATAAGTACAAGTTATATGGTATAAACAGTATATAAAACTATACTATACTGTATATAAACTACATAGAATACATATGTACAATAATTATATAGTACATATAAAACTCTACTAAATATACTCTATGTATAATACTATATACTATAAATAAATAAATACATGGTAAATATAGAACTATTATATATATACATATATAATACAGCATATATAAGCTATTTGGTATAAATGAACAGAAGGAGAATATACTTATGCCTGACTTATATATAGTATTATATATGCACATATACATACATATATATTTATATATGTATGTATATGTATATTTCTTTATTGATCCCCGAGGAAAATTAATCCATACTTTATGCTGTGCTTTATATTTATATTTAGGTGTTAACCGTCAGTTAACCTTTCTATTCACCACGTCAACTGACATATAAAAAGAGCAATGTAATGTTGTAAGTGCAGAGCTCCTCCTTTTCTACAATCACTAACCTATTTTCTCTGCATCCAGAGTGACGTTTATCACCAAGAGAAGAAGGAGAGAACCTGGAACATTCTTCATCATGGCACCACCACCCAGTCACAAACCTTAGCCGGCGGCACATGAAGCAAAGGGGAGAGCAGTAAATCTTTGACCAATGTGATAAACAGTGCCAACACAAGGATTACATGGCTTATTTCAAGTCACATGTTTGCAGAACAGGAAGAAGGAAGTGTTACGGCAGTAGAATTTCTTCACGATGTGAGGCAGTTTGGACACTTGAGTTGTACATGTGTCAGGACAGAATACAGTTAAGGTCAGTTAAGTACAATTACGCTCAACCTCATGGGGTATTTTAATAAGGCAATCAAAGGCAATGTCGCTTTAAATGCAAATTAAATAACCCATTGTTGGATGTTGGTAACGTAAACAGAGAGGTTTCATTTTAAATGTCAGGCTAAGTGCTGATGTTAGCAGAGTAAGAACTTAATTTTCAGAAATGTTGTTAGTTTGCACAGGTTAATACCAAGCGGCCAATTGCCTAGTTGCATAATCCGACTCTCAACATGACTGAGTCCTCCAGAGTCACTGGCATCACATGCTTTCTTCCTGCACTCAATTAGGAATAATTTGTAGATGTTGTTTGGTCCTTTCAGGTTGTTAAAAAAAGAGCTAGGTTGAGGGGGCTGGAGGAGGGGACTGTTTCTCATGCTGAAAGACAAAAAAAAAAAAAAGAAAGAAACACCCTTGTATCTAAATATATATATAAAACATAAATATATATATGTAGGTTGTCATATAATATAAGTATAAATAATATTAATATATTACATTATTATTATTCTATCATTCTAATTTTCATAGCATCGGTCTATGGCTGCTATGGAAACAGCAGCTGTTAAAGGATATATTGTATTGCCAATGGCTGTCTTAATGGCAATCCATAAATCACAATTGAGAGTCACTCACTGGTGATATAATAAATAAATGTGTTAATAGAAAATAAACATGTGACCTTACAAAACAGTAGGCAATTGAGATGTGCATCAAAAATTTCTTTTTCGATATTATTCACTGAAGTTTACAGTATAATAATTAGAACTGTATTGGTCCCATATTTGGGACATTTTTTGTGTTAGCTGCAGATATGCTTTTAACAGGCAGCCCCTAGCAAGCGCCAAGCATGTGGTTCTGCTGGGAATCGAACCAAGGACTCTCTGAGGCAGGCGTGCTAACCACTACACTATGAAAATGACATTTCACATATGTACTGGGTATTATTATGACTGACCTGTCATGATTTGAATAAAAAAAAAAACAATTAAAACACCTTGTTTCCCAACAGAAACAACAAGTGTTGTTTAGAGTCAAAATAAAACAAAATTTGTTCCAAAGATTATTCAAACTGAGGCTCAGTTATTGCTCAGCGACTAATTATGACCCCTCATTTCAGCGTCTTTATGGTACCATTGTCACCAAGATCTGGTAATTGGCATTAAGGTGAAACACAAATAGCCTCCTACTGTATACAGCGTTCTTACATAACCAAACTGAATAAGCTTCTCAGCCTGGTAAGTAGCGCAGCATTGTGCAAAGTTCACTGACAGATGGTAAAAGTGGTGCACATTTATGTTGTGACATTTACATTTCATTTGTCATTTGACGTAAACTTATACGTCTGCTTAATAATCATTAGCCTTGTGAAGTTCACAGCAGCTGCAGTGAGAAAGTACTGGGCAAACAGCGAAACCAGAAATAAAGGGGCATCATGGCTACGCCGAGACTCACACAAATTTTCCAATAGATAAGAACATGGAAGGAGTGGAATTTTCCAGTCTATGTAGCCCTGTGCTAGGATTATCAATATGTAACCCTGCTGTATCTATCTGCCTACTGTGTTAGATACAGCAGGGTTATTTAGCGTCTTCCTGCTCTGGGAGAGTTTTCACTCTGACTCTCGTGCTCTCTGTACACTGTTACTGTGCACTGGTAATAAAAGTTTTGCATTTTTATACTTGGAACATCACTGTTTCTGGTGAAATTTCTTTGTTACAAACATGCACGCACACACATATATAATTATATATATAACACAAATGTGCATATATTTAATATATATAAGGACTGGAGACTAAATAAAGACTAATTAAAGACAAATGTATTCTATACATATGACTGGAAATATATATGAAGATATATATCCATATTATAAATATTTTTTAAATACATTTTTATCTGTATGGCTCTATTTCTCTATCAATCCATCCAGCACTGTGTTCACACACACACCCTTTTTAAAAGAATGTCAACATTCATAGTGATGCCAATTTATTCAGCGTTCAACAGCCTTGACGTTTTCTAAATGTAATTTAAAATGCATTAGTGACAATTATGAGACCATGAGACCATATCATGTTTGCCATTCAGATCAATATGTGGCTAAGAGTGAACCCCAATTAGCAAAGCAATAAAATGGAGGATTTCTGGTCACCAATTATCTCTTAGTCCTAAAACACTGAAATGAGATCGAAAATGTGTTCTACCACACATTTTAAAAAGAGCTAAAGAAAATCATCTGGTCAGCAGATGATTCTAAGAAACTGTGTCCTTCCACTGTATGAGGAGAATCAAGCACTGGAACAAAGTACACAATCTATTCTGAAATGATTGACTGTACAGCCATGTTTGTCTGTTTCATATTAACTGTTAAATTCACTGCCTGTGCGTGTAGTGTTGTATACATGCAGAAATAGGCTTTTGATATACTGAACGCTAACTCAAATGCTAATTTCTCGGGGCACACATTTAAGGTAACACTGTTGTTACACTTCAAAATTCAACACACAAAATTCAATCACAACACTGAAACAAGACAGAAACATAATCAGTTCAAATAAACATATCCATAAACTGGGAGTGAACTGTCATTTGGACATTTAGCGTAACAACCTGTAGACAGTGGTAAACGCTGCAGGCAAACCGGTCTGACCGCCAGCACGGTTGCTGATTTCTAGGAACTTCATTAAAGGACAAGGTGAGCTAAAAACTAAAAACAAGGGCGTGATCTTGGTGTATTGTGTAAAAAACAAGGCAGTGTTTAGGTCTCATTAACTCTGGTTAATGGTTAATAGTAACGGCTGGTTAATTTTAGTTTGTTTCTGTGTCACACACGTCTTTTGTGAGGAAAACCGATCCTAGCAGCTTCTGACGTGGATTTAGACTTGAACACATTACGACTTTGAAGAGTTCAGGCATTTCAAGTATTTTAGCATCATCCAAGCCCTCAGGCTTCAACATCCGGTCAGATGCGCGAGACCAGCCTCGCTGAGCTCAGGACATTTCATAAGGCTACAGTTGTCAAAGCCGATTAACACCCTTGTCCAAAGGGACTGTTCGGAAGTCTTGACTGATTGACGTTGCTGAGGACAACGCCTTTACCAACGTTTTGAAAACAACTCTCCACACGCTCTATTGGCGTCCCTTAAGATGCACAGTAATAAGATTGAAATCCACTAGATCGTCATACTTTTGCACATTTCTTTTACATTCTTCCATATTAATAATTCCATCGTTAGAATTAGTCGACAAAACAAGGGAAAAGGGGACTTGTCATATTTAGTAAATAATGATTTACCTCGAATAATCATGACGAATCAACGGCTACCCTGTGATTATATTTTTAAAATCGATTGACAGCCCTTATGAAATATATATTATATTTCGGTTATACCATCAAACAAAGTACATGATAATGTATTTTAATGAATTATTATTACTATAGAAGCAGAAAACATTTTATTGAAAAATATTCAGTAATATGGTTGCAATAAAACTCCTCATTTAATTTAAAAAAAGCCGTTAATTGCCGTCATGTGAAGGATGAGTAGAAGCCTAAACCCCCCACCTTTAAGTAAAACCAGATAATACTCCTCCACCCACTAATTTAACCTAAGCACAATTAACTCTTAACCCCTAATCCAAGGTCTCAGACATGAGATATGCGCGCGCACGGACACCCTCACAACCACAAGACCTAACCCGTATAACATACCTCACAATACTCTATGGTGCTTGATCATTTCTGATTGAACAATTGGATTTCCAAATCCTTTATGAATGTGCAAAGACTTACAAATAATACAAATAAGTGAAACATATACTGTATATAAACGTGTAGTACGGCATCAACACTGCAAAGTTTACTCGAATACAGAGTAGGAGTACAAAGGTGAGGTGTATCAACCAGCATCACATCCTCTAAACTTTTTCTATTCCTCCACCTTTAATTGCCACTCTGGGTGGGTGGGTTTACTCACGATCAGCTGTCAGCCCTGCGACTCTTCCGTCCTCCTTAAGTTCCGCGGAGTGTCAGCGCTGCCTACACCAGTACGGATCACTATGAACGACCAGACCGACTGTTTACCTGGGATACCAGAAAACCGGGGCATATGCATTTCCGGCTGGCGCCTGATCCGCTGTGCCTTCAGCGACTGAAGCAACAAACGCCGACGCTAACTGATTCTCTCCGAGCAGGAGAGGGCGGGACACGTGTGAGACCGGATTCCGCATAAATACACTCCACCCACCAGGCTAAGGCCAGCGTCGTTCAAGGATTAATGCTGTAAACAATCCAGATTAAAGAAGAACTTCAGGCTTTTAACAAAAATGTATGCGCCCATGTATCTCAAGGTACATTAACTTATACATTAATTTATGTAAGATATACTATTTTTAGACTGCAGTGTGGGTTTTATATCAGAATCAGAATCAGAAACGTTTTTATTGCCAGGTAGGTTTTCACCTACGAATTAAGGATAGGATAATAAATAGAAATTTGTTGTGGCACACAGTGCAGTGAAAGAAATGTACATGAAGGTATACAATAAAATAAATTAAATGATGCCTATGGGTGGAGTATATATATATAGTATATACTGTATATATGTGTATATATATATATAGTATATATATAGCTACTTTTATATATATAAGTATATATATAGTATCTTATTGAGTTTGATTTAATACATTGTGCCCAGGTTCAGGATTTAGATTACAGGTAGGCTGACACTGACACTTTCAATAATGCAGGTGTGACAAAGGCTACACCTCCCATCAGTTACTGATAGTACACGGGTACTGAAAATGCAGTCTGTAGTAATGCAGAAACGTACTGTTATTATTTGAGTCAAAACTATTCAGAACGTTATTAATCTCACGAGCAAACTTCACTGGAAAAAAAACCAGATTCAATTATTTGAAGCTTACTGTATATTGGTGGTGACTAAGAGTTAGTTATCAGTTAATCAGCAAATACTTCACAGCAGTATGATGAATATGCACAAGTAGAACAGGTTTTTAAAAAAATATATACAGTAGTATTTTCTTCACTTTTGTCTAGAAATCATGTCATTTTCTCTTATGTTTCTACTGGATCTTCCAGAAAACATGGCCTCTGCTGTCCCCATTCACATTCAGACAATGTGTAATATCACGTTACAGCTCTGCCTCTTCACACTGGCTGCATAAAATAATACATTTAACCGTTTCATGTATGTTAGGAACAGCAAATTGACTTCTATTTCCAAAAGAAGGGTGGTTTTAAAATACCTGTATTGTTGAACAAAAACATCAATGTGGTTCAACACAATCTGCCCCTACTGCATTTATGTTTGTGTGTGTGTGTGTGTTTGCCTTTGCGCAAACCCTTATTTATGGGTCACTTAATTAATGTAAGGACAAAAACATGAGTTGGACATAGAGGTTTAAACTGCTTCATGTTATGGGAACAAAATAAGGAGCTGGTCACATTGTGTAAGTTTAAATAAGATCAGCCCTGTGGAGATCTTGTTTCCATGTGACCCAAAGAGAGAAAAGAAAGATACAGACAGTCAAAATACAGACAGTTTTTATTATCCTCCCAGGTAGAACAAATTTGTTCTGTTCATTTTTATCATATTGTACATTTTCTGTATTTTGTTTGTATGGATTCAGAGATTCTTTTTTTTCTTCACTCTACTTTGTAAAAGAGCCCGATTGATTGTCTAGATCGGGGGTGTCTGATTTTCACCGGTGGCCAGCAACACAGTTCCCCTTGAAGGGCCGGTTGTAAATGGAAGACTGTATAGATCAGGGGTCCCCAACCCCCGGTCCATGGACCAGTACCAGTCCATAGGGCGCAGGGAAAAAAATTAGCTTAATTTTCACTAATTTGCTTAATTCGAAGAAAATCCCCAAAATCCAGTCATATCCATTTACTCTCTTTATTTAAAGATAATCTGGCAATATTTTAAAATAAAAAAAATATTTAAAAAATGTAATGATCCTTCAATGTTCAGCGCCTTGCTACCAGTCTGTAGTAACAGGTGCTAAAAAAGTTTGGGGCCGCTGGTATAGATGTAACTACTCCATAACAGACCAATACATGTTTCTGCAATTGATTATTATTTATTTCAAGCTAAAAATATTGTTCATTGCTGTGTAATAAAAAAACGTTTTACTTCATAGGTTAAGAAACATTGCTGCATGCTGCACAAGTTTAAAAAGCACTTAAAGTCAAGAGCTTTTAAAGCTTGTGCAAAACGGCTTGGCATTTGGGCCCCGGGCCTTGAGTTTGACACGTATGATCTAGATAAAGGAAAAGAATGTGAACACTTTTCTCACAGGTAGATTTACGTTCAGAGATAATACATTTCAGACATTTTTACGAGGATTTTAAAAGCATTGTAAAAGAATAAAATAAAAACATAAAAAAAAGAGTAATAAACGTATAAACCCCTCAGTCAGAGGGCAATGATACTGTATAAAAAAAACTTTAATCATAAGGTAGAGCAAAGGAAAGTTTCCTTTGTAATTAATTCTCATTTCTCCGTGACAACACAAATGCTTGTTTGCTGCTACCTTAGTAACTTTTCTGCGCTCCGCAAATGAACAAATATTGTAAAACACAATGTGACAAACAGAACACTCCGTCCTGCCGAAGCAATATCTGGTTCCTCTTATTGAGAGCTGTAAACATAGTAATGTCTCCCAGGATGTGACGTCCCCTATTTCCCCTCCTCTGCACATCCCTACATGACCTGTGGTTAAAACACCCACTCTGAAGGTGAAGCCATTTCACTGTTAACCTAGTGTGTAAAAAAAGTAAAAAAAGAACATGTGCCATATTATTCTCTTTTCATCCAAAAAAAAAAAAACATTTCTAGCAGGTAAAACTACCTTGAAGTATGGTATCTATCATGTGTCAATACAAGATTCTGAAAACATGGTGTGGACACCAAGAACGACAAAATTAAATTATTATTGACATTTAGTCACGGTCCCCGGGCCGGGAGTTTGACACCATTGGAAAAAAAAATGCTTGAGTTCCTGGAATGCACACAAATGATGTACTAGTTATTCCCAATGCCCCTCAGCCATCTGGAAAGTACGCAGGAGATGGGGAAAAGAAATACTTGTTTCCTTTACCAAACCTGAGGCTCAGGAGTCTCTTTTGGGATCTGTCTCTCAGTATCCCAGCATTGTCCTTAAAAACGCACTTCCTTTTTAGTCATTGTCTACTCCTGGTGGAACGCCACACCTACAGAAATCTCGTAACGATAGACGACACACGCATTGGTTTTGTTTTATGTCAGACGAAGTATGGGAAAGTGGAACAGCCAGTGCCAGGAAATAGGTGTAACATTAACATGTAAAACCACATTCGGAAGTAATAACAATGTGATGGTAAACACTGTTTAAAACCCCAGGGAACAGATCTACAAATGTAAGGGAATAACAAAGGGCAGCACCTTAAGTTGTGAGTCTGTCTGCAAACAACATTTCAAGACCAATTATGGCTAAATTTATACACCTAATTAAATTAATTAAAGACACAGTACTGCAATTGCAGGTTTTGTAGGCGGTAAAGCTAATACACTTTGTAAGGAATGACTAAAAGGAACAGTCAAACACAGCAGCAGCACAGAAATAATATATTAAAGAAGCTTCTGAGTGAGCGACAATGACGGTCTGCCATCAAGGATGGTTCTGGAAATCTCTGGCCGACTGCTGTACTTAACAGCAATAATGTTATATAATATGTCCATCTGCTCCTCACCCTGGTTTCAAAGTCCCGCTGCGATTAATGCCAGCGGACATTTGGACAAGGTCAGAGTTATGATTAACCTTAGTAATACTAACATTGATATATATATATTTTTAACTTTATATTGAAGATAAATCTATCTCTACGTATTAATTTGTGTGCTCAGATTGCAAATGAATTGGTTTTTGGGTGTCTTTTAGAGAATTAAAAAATATTTTAATAGCAGGTCTAATAATTCGAATAAAAGATTTTAGACTCTCAATCTCTGTGTGAGTAGCAGTGGAGGTGTGGGGGTGTGGGAGGGGGCTAGGGTGTAATTACTGGTGAGAGAAGCGTTCAAAAACCAAGGTTAAAATGTTTTTTACATGAATGTGTGTTGCCATCTAGTGGTTGTCTTTGAAAGCGCAATGACAAGGTAATCTGTTGCTGATCTAGCCCACAGCCGACAACTAACATAGGACAAGAACATTGGATTCTAGGTTCCAAAGCCACCTTGACCAATCAAAAAAAAAAAAAAAAAGTGTTAAAAAAGAAAGTGTTGAAAATATGTAGATCAAAAAACTAAAAAAAGAAGAAAATCAGTTCCCACCTAAAAAACTATACAATCAGTTCATTAGATAAATAAAAAAATACGTAATTTTGTGGATCCTGTAATTTTTTGTTGTAATCTGAACCAAATGAATACAGATGCACTTTTCATGCACAGAATACCTATATTCAAAGCCTAAATGTAATGCACCTGTAATTTCACTTTAACTTTAAATTAATTTAAGATATCATGGGCCTCATACAATTGCTACAATGTATCGTACTGCAGTCATGCACAGATACTCTCTCTACTTTGCATGGAGGTTCGTGGCATCAGGGAGCCATTGTCAGTATGTTTGAGAGTTACCAGGAAACAGGTGCGCCAGGAATATCTGACACACACACACACAAAAAAAAAAAAAACAGAGTGAAAACTACTGTATTTTGTTGTAATTTTTTGGCAAAGGAAACATAGAGTGATTCATGTAGCTACATGTTGCCAAATCCTTCTTCCTGTATGACTTGACTTTTAATTTAGCAGTAGTTTAAAAGCTCTTTTACTATGTCAAAAAAGGTGTATTTTTGTTGAAAAATATATAACTTGGAGGGTTTGGAGGGGACTTTTCTATGATGTATAAGGAAATAACAGCCAGTATGACTTTTGGGTTATTAGGGTTTATGTTGGTTTTATGAGTCCACTGGTCAAATATGATTTCATGAGATTTATTGAAAAGTAACACTAAGAGAATACAGAGACCCAAATGAGAAAGTGAGGAACATGGATTGGACGTATGCTGATAAAAAAACAGACAGCACCACACATGTTGCTGTACATAAAAGAAAAAAAAAAAAAGAAGAGACAACAACCCAAGAGTGAGTGTTTTGGACACCTAAAGACTGACTGACAGAATTGATTCATGTCCCTCGTTGCTGCCCTACATACCAAACGGCACGCTGGGTATTAAAACTGTATCACTGCAAACATCTTATTGATGTCTTTAGAAATGTCAATGATGCTCCACAGCCCGGGCATTATCAATGACAACTTAATGAA